TTGAAAACACACCACTCCTAGAAATGCTTGACATTGAATTGGCTATTGAAATGGTATCAGTAAAGTATTTATATATTCCATATTTTCTTCCATACATCAGCTTTCCTCGATGCGTTAGACTTGGAAGGATGCCACGTGAGCTGAAATGTTTCCATATATGAAAGACCGCCTTGTTTTAAAGAGGGAGTAAATTGTTTAGGGTACAGGAAGTAGAGTAAATCAGTTTGAATACGTGCACATCTCTCTTTGCCCCTGCTCTTGCACGTTTTACTTTGTCTCTTCCCTATTTGTCTTCAGAAGCTGGCTGTGCTTACAGTAAATATCTGTGTTCACCTAACAGCTAAATATAGTGATAAAAATAACTCCTACCATAAAAACTGAATGAATGACAAGAACAGTTTCATGAACCAAGAAATCCACAGAATAAATATCATAATTTAAGGTTGGTTTTACAACATTCTTTAATTTAAAACAGGGCAAAATACTTCTGTGGTAAAATCACAGTTCTTCACTCTATACTGTAAAAGAGATTCAAGAATGTAGATTTCAAAATGTTTGGGGTGGGTTGTTTTTTTTTTTTTTTTGAATAAAAAGTATAACCCAAAGCAAATGCAATAGATCTCTGCATACTTGAAACATATTTTCTGCATTTATTCTAAGTCTCTCACTGCACCAGAGGGTTGTGTGTATGGATTAGGACTAGACCATTATTTCACCATCTATCTCCATCCTGAATTGATTGCAGTGAACACTGCAGAATGAATTGCAGATGTCTTCTTTTCCCTCCGGTTTGGAAGACCTCAGGTTTCAGCCCCATTTGATCCGAACTGGGCTAAGGAGTGCAAGTCTGTCAGTGTTTAGAGGGATTCGGTGGAAGAAATCTTCACACCTGAAGGAAGTGTACTGTCTCTGTATACACAGCCTGCGCTCTGAAATGTGTGATGCTGTGTGATACTGCCTGTATGAAACTTCCTGGCGTGTCCCTGCTAATTCAGGATTATTATTTGAAATGTCAGAGTCCAACAGGACAAAGAATAAAATCAGAACTAGCTTTGCACATGGGGAGTTTGCTTTGACACGAAAGCATTAAAATGTTTTTCAATTAAAAAAACTAAACAATTTTAAGACATGGTTTTCGATAAGGTTTTTCCAAATTTCAGGCAAAGTTCAATGTATATGCTCCTGTATTGTAAAACTGGGGCAAGAGTACATGAAATCCCACACAGGCAGGTTTTCACATGTAAAAAATAGTTTTTCCTCTTGAGGGGTTCTTTCTACCCCTCCCAAACCTTATCGCCTCTGAATGTACAGATAGCAGAATATCCACAGAGAGTTTGTTTGAAAAATGTCTATACATAAAAGCCCTCACAGAATGACAAGGCTTAGGGGAAACTTGGCTTGTGAATACGATTTAAATACCTCTTTGCCTTTAGCTTTCATATCATCAGGCTATTTTTCAACAATTAAAGTAAAAAGTGTTAGTTATTGGGGGTTTTTTTTTGTTGTTGGTTTGGTTTTTTTAATTAAAAAAAGCAATTATGTGTAGAAGCTGGATTTCTAGGCTAAGTATCAGACACTACAAGCTTCAAGGGTTCAGATCACAAGAACCGGTAATGCTTTTATCACTTTATTTATAATTGCTTTGTGCTCCATCGCCACTCCACCCTCTGAGAGATCTTCCTCTTAACGGAGCTACTGAGGTTCTCGGGGGCTGTGGGTGGTGGGACAGCGGTGGGTGCAGAGCAGGCGTGGGCAGGTGCTCCCAGCCCCGTAGCTCCCGCGGAGCTTGGGGAACCAGCTCTGCAGGCAAGGAGCAGGTAGGTAGTAAGAGCAAGAGCAGAATGGCTCCTGCAGAGTTTTGCTGTTGGAGAAGGTGGAAAGGTGGGATGGAGCAGGACGGAGCAGGCTGGTGTGGTGGTGGTGGTTTCTTCCAAGCACGTGGAAGAGCTTTGCATTTTGCATTGTACTTCTTCAAAAGGCCTTCTCCCCACCCTAAGGAGAGTTTCTGCTCTGAGAAGATAATCTTGTACCCTGGTTAGAAGTGTTTTGAGGTGTCCTTGAAGGGAGCTTTGTATCTCCTTACAGAAGGCAGGGCTAGAGAACTTACAGACAACCAGAGATAAATCTGTCTGCCTGCGATCGTACAGTAGCAGAGCGGGGTTTAGAGCTTTGCAAGGGAGAGAGAAAGGTTAAGCAAAGGTAAGTGGTCTGTAGAGGGGGCTTTTTTTACCTCTAAGAGGTCCAAAGAAAAATAATTAGGAAAATCAAGCCTAATGTCAGTAGACTTATATGAGAAGTACAGGAGCCTGTGGATAATTCCAGCGATGTGCAAACTGGGTGGCAGACACTGTTGGAGGGAGTCAAAACCAGTTGGATCACGGTAGAACAGCAATCTGAAATTGGAGGGCAAAACCAACACCCTATTTCCCACGACCGTGTTTAATTTAAGTAACAAAACATTGCCAGCTTTTTGGGAAAGCCTCCCCCCTCCAATCTGAGCAAACCTGAACCTTGAAACGCAGCAAAGGAGGGGGGAGCAGGAGCCGTGCGGTTGGTTACAGGCTCGGGATCGCTTTTAGTTATCAACAGCTGAATTGGAGGATACAGGCTGTGCCTGCTCGCCGCCAGCAGCAGACTGTTAGAGGAGTTCGATTTCTCTCACTCCTTCTTCCACCCACCTCCAGCTCCTCTGTGCCTGTGTCTGCGCTCCCACATGCTTCAAATCTGTGTACCTGGACTGCCTTCCTTAACAGTTCAATGTGAGTGTTAGCAGAATGAAAACCAGATGGACCAGCAGTTCCCACTGTTATCTCCCCACCAGCTCTGGCAAGCCTCCCTTTCTCTCTCCTTTCTTGGCATGGCAGAAATATTTGCCTTTATTTAGGAGGGCTTGGGCTCACTGCTGTTTTTCCCTCTGTTGCAACATGAGCTGAAAGCTATTTATTCCCTTGTTGCTGAGGTTGGTTGAGGTGAGTGCAAGATGAATTCGGCTATTAAGGAAGCAATTAACATTTCAAGACGAGTTTTCATAGTTCTTTATATTAAATGAATGGCTTGTTGAAGATACAGATTTAACTGTTTTAGTAGAGCAATATGGAAAGGAAATTTGTATAGAATATGTTTAAAAACTTGCTTTTGTTTTCCAGCATGTAATAATTTACTTACGCTTGATTTGCAAATCAAACCTCACCTGTCTGTGTAGCAGCCTTAATATTTAAGTTAAATCATTTTGGATACTGTTCCTTACACGGCTGAGGTTTACTAACCTTGTATCAGTGCTACAGATCCTGTAATGCTGTATCTGTATTCCCCTCATCCTCTTCTGGGGGATGTTTCTCTGCTCATTTTCCCCAAATCTGTCTCTAAATTCTGTTTTTCCCTGAGAACTGAAGCATTGTCTGTAGGCACTTCTACAAAGAGTGAAGGTGGCTTCTGTAATTGCAGTACCTGACACCCTGTGTGTCTGGGACATACTTCCTCAGTGTCCTTAGTTTCAGGCAGCTAAAGATGCAATTATGCATCGCTAATTTTTGTGGGATTTTTTTTTAACTATGATAATTAAGTGTTCTGGTAATTAAGTGTTTTGAGGCTCTTTTAAATAATACCCTTTAAATTAACATACCCTTCCTTTGTTAAATGTGTGCATTGCATTTAATTTTTCTTAGGACCTCTCAGGGCAAATTTCAGATATGATTTTCTGATTGAAGTTTGCGTGTTGTTTTTAAGAACAAGGAAAGCACAACGCAAAGTGGAGTGACAGAATTTATAGAACAGGTCAGACTTTGCTGTTGTGTTGAATGAAAACGATAGACTTTACATGCTTACCCGTTAGCAGTGACACTTACTTGCTTTGCAAAGTAGTTTAATGGAGCTCAGGAAGAATTGTGTAGGTCAGTGTATAAAATAAATAACTCTGACACCGCAAAGAAGGGATGGAAGGATTTAACTTATGCCTGTTAACAGCTAAACTTGGTCTTACTCATCTTTACTCAAGATGGCATGCTAAACTCCTGGCATGAGTAAGGAAGGCTTAATTTTGCTTGCAGTTGGCAAATATTGTCATGTTTTGCCCATTCTTGGTAAATGAAACATAAGGGTTTGGGTGGGTTTTTTAAAACGTTTGCTTCGATTTTAACGTAGAGGTGTCCAAAAAGGTGCTGGAAAAAGAAGAGACTATAGCTTCTATATCAAGCATCTTTAGATCTTAACTGCAAGAGAACTGTTAGGTTTTCTGCCTGTTTTTGCCTTTTGTTTGTTTTGTTTTCTTGGAGAGGTATGTTTCTACTTATCTTGCAGGTTTTGAATATTACAGTTGTTCTTAATGTGTGAAGGTGCAAACTTAGATGCTTTTTAAAAAACAGTGGTGTATATGCGTGACGATTGACTTACCATTTTGACACGTTGCGTTTCTTTTTCTGGTGAACGTAAGAATCACCAGGGGCAGGGTGGTAAAGCGATGCAAGAGGCACACAGTATTTTACATAAGTATCTCTCCATGATTTCAAAGAGAAACGATGGAGAGGGCAGCAGGTGTTACAAAGAAGAGACATGAAGAGAGCTGGCTTCAACCAATATCCCGCTCAATATCTCACCTGTACTAAAGAGCTTCAGGTTTTAGTTCTGGAGGAGCTGTCATAAGGCGATTTATTACCTTCCTGTCTCTTGGTCTATTTTTTCCTCCTGGCTAACGTGAGAGCCTTGAAGGGAAGTGGCATTATTGCAGCTCCAGGAGTGCTTGGGAGGTAGCATCTGCACATGCTAGAAATAAAGACAAAAGATAATGCAGCACCGCTACAAAATGAGGTCTTACCATCTGTGTTACACCTTCTTAAGTAAGGTTTAGATGATGTAATTTGGGAAGAGCACACTGGAGTAGATAATCAGGTGTAATCCTTTGCAGCAGGTGCTGAAATGGCTCACTTGTGTTCGTTTTTAAGTTTTTGTCCGAGGGGGTGTGCCTGGGGAAATAAACCGGTGTGTTCCTGTGGTGTGTGTTGCAGATCGCACTGAGAAGCATTCCACAATGCCAGACTCACCTGTGGATGTGAAGACACAATCCAGGCTGACGCCTCCAACCATGCCACCTCCTCCCACTACCCAAGGAGCTCCAAGAACCAGTTCATTCACGCCCACAACGTGTAATTAAGACTTATTTTCTTCCTTTTCTTCCATATTCTTTCTATTCTGTATTGTAAGAAGCCAAAGTATGTGACGGGAAACCTGCATGACATGGTGGGAGCAGCATTTGGTTGTATGGCAATAAAGTGATTAAGCAAAACTAAGATCACAACAGATTAATGCATCTTTTCAGGTATTAAGTCATTCAGCTCAGAGTTGTGTTGTTATTTCATTGACAGCTTGGCCGCAGAGAACAGTGAGCACCGGTTTCCTGTGTACTTAATGCTCAGATCAGTCCTTCTGTGAGAAGTGCAGAAAACTTTCTTCTCCTCTTCTATGCCATTCTGTTGTTTTGTTTAAAGGATCCTGTTCCCTATTGTATAGAAACTTCGGTAGTAATTCTTCAGGGTTTTTTTGTTTATGTTTTTAAAGTGGGGGTATCATAAAGAAAGTACTTATCTTCATCCCACTTGTGATTGAATGAAGAGTTCTGATTTAAGTGCCATATAATGTCTAGTTAATAGTCATATATAACAAAAATAAGGGCCTTTTACTGTTTTATTTAGAGATTTGTAGTCTGTGACCACTTTACTTCTCTAAATCACTTGGGGCTGCATCTCAGTCTCAGTTTATTGATGTAAACACACAAGAAACTCTACGAGTCTTGATGGAATTACTCTGCATTTGTATCAGTGTAACTGAGATTTGAATCTGGCATGTTGTCTGGACTATTCTTTTCACAGCCATGAAATGATCCACATTTCTCTTACCAAGTTTTAGCTGCAAATTTTTTGGTCTCTTTTATACTGCCTGGTAATAGTATAAACATGAGAATGTGTTTACATTTCACATTTTAAATAAAACATTTTTAGAACAGTAGAATACATATGCCTAAACAGAATGAAGGCAGCATCTTCTATTTGTCTTGCCTATGTCTGTTGAGTCCCTTTCTGTCTGGTAAATGCTTTATTTAAAATTCACCTCTGTGCAGAAGGCCAGCCGGAGGCCTTTGTACTACTTATCCCAGGGAACCCTGTCTTGACGATTTACATCGAACTTAAACAGTGAGAAGGGTTTGTGCCAACTATTCACATAAACTCCAGTTTAACCCAGTGACCCTGATCCTGCAAAGATTTGTCTGTTTTGCTTAACTTCAGCACCTGAATCATCCGAGGAGCTGCTCTGGTCTGAAGTTAAATTGTTTCTAGCTTTTTGCAGGATGGGGCTCTTACAAATTAAGCTTTCTAGCGTGATGCACTTTGCACAGTTCAGGGTAACCTTTGGCAATCATAAAAGGAAGACGACAATGTTCTTCTTCAATCACTCTTATAATCCTCAGTGTACTCACAAGATCGCTGGATGTTTGTTTATTTGATCGGGTTCAGCACTTCGGAAGGTGTGTGAACCATAGCTAGATTTCTGGGGCTGTTTATATGAAGAATAAATAAAGTCTTAATTTTAATTGCCTTTTACCCTGTCAGATTTTGGAGTTTGGGCTTAGTGGTTCCAGCTTGTACAGTAAACAGTCACTTCTGTTGGAGTGTCTGTTAGATTTATTATTACTACAGCGGGAATGCCTGTAGGCCAGGAAGATCATACTTGCTTTCTGGTCAAGAGTATGCTTGTTTTATTTGGTTTAAATGATTAAAAACTCTTGACATATATTAGTTTGAAATTTTAAATGCTAAATTCTGTTTTATTAATAGCATGGCTTTGTTTTAGAAATTACATAGATTTTTGCCAGTTGGCAAATTCAGACCTTATAAAGAAAGAGACAAAATCATTAATGGGGTGTGGGCTATTAAAAAAAAAAAAGAGTTCTAGAGAAGCTGCATTTGGGGAATATTTCCATATTTCTTTTGTTGTGGGAGAAATTTTGCCTGCCTTTCTCCTCCTTATACCTATGTTAGGTAGTGAACTCTGCTGTTCTGTGCTTTCTTGATCCCAGCCCCAGGACCCTTTGCCTAGAGCAGCCCCTTAGCAAGGACTGAGTTGTTGGCTGGTGTCAGGCTAGAGCAGGACATATTCTTATTCTTCCCAGTCCTAATTTGCTAAGTTCATGGTATGATGAGTTTTGGCTATGCAAGTTTCTTGCAGTCATGACGTATCTGTTTACTCAGATATCTCACGCTACTGCAGCGCTCAGGGAGCATGGCTTGGAGCTGCACGTGGAGATGAACTTGCTGAGGCCAGCTTCTTTCTATTTCTGCCTTTTCCACTTCTTGTTTTCCCTAGCCCATGCAGATAGAATAGGCAACCAAAAGCTGGGATAAAACACAGGCAGCAACTAGATAACCACTCAGACAGCATTTTCTGTAGTGCTTCCAGAAAGGCACTTCAGTCACTAGGGCAAAAGCTCCTTCAAAGGTATTGCAGTAATGATTTAAATCTGGTAATAGACTAGTGATGTATATCTAGTAATAGGTGTTCACCCTCAAAGAGGACTTGCTGTCTAAAAATAAAGATGACTGCTGGAGCAAATGACAAAGAGAAAGGGATGTTTGGCTTCAGAGAGGCCGGTCATTGAGAAACATTGAAAATACTTTAAGTTGCTCTCTCGCCATGGTTATGCTTTTAAAGAGGAAGCAATTTAGACTAATACATCTATGCATTTTTGATTGTAGACAAATTCCTGATTTTTTATGGGTTTTTTTTGAGGTGGCTTCTGAATGACTTCCCAAAAGTCAGCAAATTTCTCCAGGGCAATGGCTGGCTGAGCACGGCTGCTGCTGAGTAGAGTCGAGTGCTGTGTGCCCACACCTGCCAGTGCACTGGTGCGTTCGATTTTCTAGGGAGCTGAGCTTTTTCTTGCCATTCACTGTCATTTTGGCGAGTCAGACTCAAAACAAACTCAACAGAGTGCGTTTGGCTGTTGCTGTCCCAAGTAACCTGGGTGGAAAAGGATGTCCTCAGTTTGATTCTTTGTTCTCTTCTGGGGTGTGGATAAGAATCAAACTGAAACTGCTTCCAAAAACTAACTGTTGCTGTCTTCAGTATGTCTGCATGAATCTCATTGCCGTAAATGTTGAACATTAGTACTTTAGATAGTTATTCTCACAGCAACCTTGCAACAGGAGGGGAATGCTTTCCTATCCTTTTTAGAGATACGGTATTGGCACATGAAAGCCAAGTGATTTGCTTGTGGTCTCTGGGAAGTCTTCTGAAGTCTAACTTCATGCTCTAGCTGCAAGGCTTCAGGCCACAGTGAGGATGGCACCATTTGTACCTGCACAAACGACTTTGTGTTCTCCATATGTTAGCAGCTAGGGAAATCTGTATTGGAAAAAATAACCTTCTCATTGGGTGGTGTAAGGTTAAAACGTGAAAGTCCTGTTTTATAAACACAGCTGTCAGTTGTGTGTACAAAACACAAGTAAAAATATTCAGAGATAAACTGAGGCTTCGTGAAATATGTCTGCACATTTTTTTCTACCTCAAAGAGCAATTTTTTTGGTCTTCAATCACACATGCACTCATGCTTTTTCTCTCTCTGTTTCCTTCTCTCCCTTTTTAAAATCCTCGGACAAAAGACTGGTATTCAAATGATGCTTTTCAGGTCTAGGCGTACTTTGGAGGGGCTGTGTGAGAGGCAGCTGCTGTTACTTCCAATCCATACACCGTTCAGTACCAGCTACTGGGAAATAGATACAAACTGCAGAGTGTCGCTCTGTCAAAAGGCTAATTATCTTTGATTGTGCATCTTAATTAATTTTGAGGTCAAGCACAGAAAACATAAGCTGATGGATTTTCCTCTCTGTCTTCTTCCCCTCTCTCTTCCCCCCTCTCTCTATTTTATCTTCCCTTCTCTCTTTTTCTTTCAGTAACCAATGGCACTAGCCATTCACCAACAGCGTTAAATGGAGCTCCATCTCCTCCTAATGGCTTTAGCAATGGGCCATCCTCTTCCTCTTCCTCTTCTCTGGCTAACCAGCAGTTACCGCCAGCTTGTGGAGCTAGGCAACTCAGCAAACTGAAGAGATTTCTTACAACCTTACAGCAGTTTGGCAATGACATTTCACCAGAGATTGGGGAGAGAGTGCGTACCCTTGTGCTAGGACTTGTGGTAAGCAAAAAACCAATGATGTAATAACTGTGATCTTTTTCTCTCCTTTTCCCTCTTCTATGCTTGACGTGTTTGTTATATAAATGAGTAGGTCACATACACTGCATGTATCTGACTTTAAGGATACCAAACGTGCAAGAATGAAGTGCTGGCTCTTGCTGCCGGAGCTAACACAAGTAACTTGACTAGCTGCCCATGAGTGGCAGCTATGCTCAACCAGATATAGACTTGACTCTTTTTGACAGTATAGTATTATGCTGTAATGCTGTGAAAGGGTTTTCATTCTATACTGGCAGCACCCCTAATGTAGATACACCTTGAGTTATACAATGTAGTAAAATATGGTTTGGCTTGCCTAGTTTAGTTGGCTGGGGATAGGAGAGTATCCTACATATGTAGGACATGTACCATATACACAGTGGCAGAATACTGGTTAAAAGGATGAGCTGAATATATGTTTGGACTGTGGTCACGCAGTGGAAAACCTTTTCTCAGTATTCATTGAACCCGACAATGAGGGACCTAACGGTGCATTGCTGCTACTTAAGGCACCTTGTTTATAAGGTGATCTTTATGTGATTATATGGTTGAATGAAAATTTCAGCTTTTTCTTACCTACATCTGTCAAGTTGGGCTGCTATTTTACAGGCAAACTGTTGCAAATCTGGCCCAGGATTCTTTTTATTCCCAGTAAAGTCCTCTCTCCGCCAGACATTGTTGTCTCCCATGTATCTCCTTCAGCAATAATTAGATGTACCAGGAAATATGCTGTTGTGGTGCTCTAATTTACATCTGTTCTGAGCAGCTGCAGTTGC